CCAACCACTTCCCCTCGGCAGCCTCGCGTGGGTCAGGCAGGGCCCAGCTGGCTGCGGATGGCTAGCCTCTGGATCGCGGTGCCCTCAGAGACACTGGCCCGTTAGTGCGGTAGGGGGTCGGTGTGCCCAGAGGGTCAAAAGGGGTAACGTGACCCTGAAACTGTCCGGGATCAAACCGTGTCAGACATGGCCCAGGGCTTGGAAAACCCAGCTCGACCTGCTGAGCACCCTGGCAAACGCCCCGAAACAGCTGCTTACCCCGGCAAGGCTCCAGCCGCGGCCCACGAGCTGCCAGTGGCTCTTTGGTGTGTCTCCTGCGGCTCTTTGCAGCACGTGATGTTAAAACACTGGGCGATTTCATTATTAACCGAGCTAAGCTATGAGCCGATCAGGAAGCTGGTACTATGTTATTAGCCAGTTAAGTTATTAGCTTCCTTACGTGCAGTGAGAATAATCTCCCTTTTCCCCACCTCGCGGTGGGACTCTGAATCTATAGCACTGGGGTAAATGAAACAGTGAACTCACGCTAGGCTGGCTTTGGGGAATGCTGATCACTAATTTGGCTCCTGAACCCCTGAGGTCTGAGAGGCGCTGTTTGAACCTTTTCCCAGAGAGAGGGAAAAGAAGGAAAAGCAGGGACAGCATCTGAATTGTAAAGGATTGAGTCCGGCTTTCGTTCTGACAGCCGCCTTGTTCCCTTTCCCTCTAGCTGGAGGGCATGTAGCAGGAAAGCCCCGGGTCTGGCCGGCTCTTGGCTGGTATCTGACGGTGCTAGCTGCCCTTCTGGGCAATGGAGAAGTTAGTTGAGATGGGCTGGATCCCGTTTTCTGGACCCAGACAAACACACCCAAAAGGGGAGAGAAAAGAACAGCCCAGAGAGAGCCTGCAGCGTCCTTCTCTGGCCTTGTGACCCCACTGCTGGACACGGGCCCAGCGCACGGTCTGACCAGCCACACCGAGACCCGGCAACTCGTACCGGCACAGGCTGCCTAGGGCCTGGCCTTCGGCGGCCTCTCTGCTCACCGGCTCCCCGACACAGCCGTGGCCAGCTAAGCCAGACACTCGTTAGCCCAAGGCAGACGAGGGATCGGAGCAAGAAGTGAGGGGGGGGAGAATGGACACACAAGGAGAGGGCACACTTCGGATTTAGCCGGAAGTGGAGATGGCGCTGGGTCCCTTGCTCTGGCCCGCTCCGGTCACAACTAGGGCGAAGAAGGGGCCTGGTCCCTGAGACAGCTGGGGTGGGAGCCGGGATGGTGAACCTCGCTCCTACCCCTTCTCTCGTCTTTCAGCCGTCTCCGCCCGTCTCTTTTCGAGGACCTCGAGGGGCGGGGGGGTGCCGTTAGGCCTGGTTCCCAATGCATCAGGTTTGGGTCTTCGGTTTCTGGGCTCGGGATCCTAGCACAGGCCTGGCGTTGTGGCCGTGGCCTTTGTGGTCGGAGTCACATCTCCTTGCCCGGCCGTGTGAACTAGACCCTCTTCCCCGGGCTAGGTGCAGCACCCCTGCCGGCCTGTGGCGAGACGGGCACCTCTGCCGGTTATTTCACAGGGTTACTGAGCAACGCCCTTACGGGCCCCGGCCCAGGGGCCGCTTTGGTCTCATGGGCTCTCCGCTGCTGGCCTGAGCACGTGCCCCCTGTGTCTGCCCCGATGTGCCTGTCCCGGGGTTTGGCCCTGGCGCACAGATGGCACCGGGGGGATTCTTCCCGGGGCAAGGGGCAGCGGTACAGGATGTGTGCTGCGGGGGGGGGCTTGTCCCCAGGAGACTGGGGGGAGAGGCGACCGGCCGCGGAGGAGGCAGCTGGGTGCTCTGTCCCTTGGGGCAGGGAGCCATGAGCTCTGCCTTGGGGAGCTGGGCCAGACTAACCCCAGGCTGGGGGCGTTTCCATGGCTGGGCCCCTATGGTCTATATTGCCCACAGCAGCTGGACACTGGAAGTCCCGGATGACTGGAAAAAGGCTAATGTAGTGCCAATCTTTAAAAAAGGGAAGAAGGAGGATCCTGGGAACTACAGGCCAGTCAGCCTCACTTCAGTCCCTGGAAAAATCATGGAGCAGGTCCTCAAAGAATCAATCCTGAAGCACTTGCATGAGAGGAAAGTGATCAGGAACAGCCAGCATGGATTCACCAAGGGAAGGTCATGCCTGACTAATCTAATCGCCTTTTATGATGAGATTACTGGTTCTGTGGATGAAGGGAAAGCAGTGGATGTATTGTTTCTTGACTTTAGCAAAGCTTTTGACACGGGTTCCCAGAGTATTCTTGTCAGCAAGTTAAGGAAGTATGGGCTGGATGAATGCACTACAAGGTGGGTAGAAAGCTGGCTAGATTGTCGGGCTCAACGGGTAGTAATCAATGGCTCCATGTCTAGTTGGCAGCCGGTATCAAGTGGAGTGCCCCAAGGGTCGGTCCTGGGGCCGGTTTTGTTCAATATCTTCATAAATGATCTGGAGGATGGTGTGGATTGCACTCTCAGCAAATTTGCGGATGATACTAAACTGGGAGGAGTGGTAGATACGCTGGAGGGGAGGGATAGGATACAGAAGGACCTAGACAAATTGGAGGATTGGGCCAAAAGAAATCTGATGAGGTTCAATAAGGATAAGTGCAGGGTCCTGCACTTAGGACGGGAGAACCCAATGCACAGCTACAGACTAGGGACCGAATGGCTAGGCAGCAGTTCTGCGGAAAAGGACCTAGGGGTTACAGTGGACGAGAAGCTGGATATGAGTCAGCAGGGTGCCCTTTTTGCCAAGAAGGCCAATGGCATTTTGGGATGTATAAGTAGGGGCATAGCGAGCAGATCAAGGGACGTGATCGTTCCCCTCTATTCGACATTGGTGAGGCCTCATCTGGAGTACTGTGTCCAGTTTTGGGCCCCACACTTCAAGAAGGATGTGGATAAATTGGAGAGAGTCCAGCGAAGGGCAACAAAAATGATTAGGGGTCTGGAACATATGAGTTATGAGGAGAGGCTGAGGGAGCTGGGATTGTTTAGCCTGCAGAAGAGAAGAGTGAGGGGGGGATTTGATAGCTGCTTTCAACTACCTGAAAGGGGGTTCCAAAGAGGATGGCTCTAGACTGTTCTCAATGGTAGCAGATGACAGAACGAGGAGTAATGGTCTCAAGTTACAGTGGGGGAGGTTTAGATTGGATATTAGGAAAAACTTTTTCACTAAGAGGGTGGTGAAACACTGGAATGCGTTACCTAGGGAGGTGGTAGAATCTCCTTCCTTAGAGGTTTTTAAGGTCAGGCTTGACAAAGCCCTGGCTGGGATGATTTAACTGGGAATTGGTCCTGCTTCGAGCAGGGGGTTGGACTAGATGACCTTCTGGGGTCCCTTCCAACCCTGATATTCTATGATTCTATGACACTCAGGCCTGGAGCCTCAGAGGGGTTTAGGCTCCGAACTGTCCCTGAAGCCCAAGGGAGTTAGGAGCTGGGCGGCACCTCCTTGTCCTCAGACACAGTGCCAAGAAGGCTCATGCTGGGTGGCTTGTCCCTGGAGCTGAGCTGACCCAGATGGCTCAGTCCCCTCCCCAGGGGGACAGGGGGCCTCCCCGAGCCCTGTTCCCCTCCCCTCCCCCCCAGTGCTCCGCAGAGATACTGTGTCCTGAAAGAGGGGCTGGCAGGGGGGCCGGGCCACGAGCCGAGTGGCTCCATGGCACATGGGTGGCATTGGCCAGAGCCACGGTGGGGGTCTGTGGCATGCCGCGCTCCTGGCTGGGGGTGCGGCACAGGGGCACGGGAGGAAGCCACGCAGCAGGGACGGCCGTGGCATCTGTGCCCGGGCTGCTCTGGGCCCAGATATGGCACGTCTCTGCAGGGCTCTCCCACTGCGGCGCCCGGCTGGCCGCGTTCCCCGTGCTCGGCTGGGCAGGGAGGGGCAGGTGGCCAGGGCTCTGCGTGGCTCGGTCCATCCCCACCTGCGGGAGCCGGAGGCCCCGCTCGCTCTGTCCCTCCATCGCGGCTCTGTAGGGAACCGGGGCCCCTCGCACCGGCCCCTTCCCTGGAGCGAGCCGTGGGCTGGTGACGGGACCCTCGCCTCGGGAGGGCTCCTGCAAGGTCCCACGGCCAGGCAGTAAGTCTCCCCTCCTCCGGCCCCTGTCCGGGGCAGAGGCTGAGCTCAGGGCTGGCTGCTTCTTGGTGGCCCAAGTATGTCGGATCCAGCCCCGGTGGCGGGGTGACTCCTGAGTGCAGGAAGGCAGGGCATGAGCGCGGCCCCCGTGCCGGGCCCACCCCCCCAACTCTCCCCTCCCTGGCATCCTGCAGGACCGTGTCCCCATCCCCACCGGCTCAGGCACCCCCTGGCGCCGTGTCACCCTCCCCGCCTCTGCCTGTGGGACCCTTGCTGGGACCGGCGCAGGGTCCCGCCAGGGATGGGGCCAGCCCAGAGACCTGTCGTTACCCTCTCCAGTCGCGGCTCCATAAGCCAGCTCCCTCGTGGGGCTGATGGAGAGATGTGGGGGACCCGTTATCCACGTGCCTGCTTCAGCCACAGCCCTCTCCAGCGTCTCCTCCTCCCCTGCATGCCTGCCTTGCGACTTGCTGGCCACACTGCCGGTCGGCCCCCCTTGTAGCCCCGGCTCCTGCTCTGCCCCCTGCCCCTGGAGCCCCGGCCAGCGGGGGGCAGGCACAAGGGGTGACCCTGCCACTCGGAGCCAGCCGGGCCTGGCCAGCCACTGGTGATGGAGCCGTCCTGGCTGGCTCGGGGGTGTGTGTTGTGTTGTGTTGTGTTGTGTGTGTGTGTCTGTGCGCGCCCATCTCTGCCTGCTGCCCTCTGTTTGTTTTCCCCAGGACTGATCGGATACACAGGGAAGCCCCAGGGCCCCTGGCTCAGCGTGGGGCTCTGTTTCCTGCAGGGAGGGGGCTCTGGGCAAGGCAGCCCTGGCCAGCCCAGCCCCGTTCTTGGCCAGTGATTGCTGGAGCCCAGCGTGGGAGTGGCTGGGCACAGGGGACTCTGCGCGGGGGGGTAACAGGGTGTTTTCTCTCCCCCCAGATGTGCCCTCCCACCCCAGGCCTCAGAAGGGTGATGGTGCTTCTGGCTGCAGCCCTGGTGTCCGCCTCTGTCGCTGCGGGGGAAGGCTGGCGCGAGGAAGGTGAGAGGAGGAAGGCTCAGCCGCTGGGCCCCGCGTGCCCGGCCCCACACTGCCCTGTGGCTCGTATCAGCCATGCAAGCCAAGCACAGCACGGCACTGGCCCTCCCAGCCCCCTGGGTGGGGGCTCAGTAAGACATCCCCAGTTTACACGTGGGGAAACTGAGGCACGGTGCATTTCCCCCTGGCTCTGGAACGAGTCAGGATCAGAGCCAGGATGAGAAACCTGCTCAGGGCATCCACCCTTGTGAACCTCCCAGCGCCGGGGGGTGCAGCCTGATCCTGCTTTCAGGTTAAATAACCCGACTCTTCTGTCCCAGCTCTGCCGGTGCCCCTCAATCCCGACCCGCAGCCCCTGCTGTTCCAAGCACAGTCCCTCTCCCCACCCAGCTCCGCTGATCCCCAGCCCCCCTGCTTGGCTCTCCTGGGCCAGGCCCCTCCCGCGGAGGCTGCCAGCTCTGGCCGGTGTCCTTTGCTTTTGGGGCCCCTTCAGTTCCACGTTTGTAAGTAGCCGTGTTGGGGTGGGGGTGGGCTGTGGGAGAGGAGACCTGTCCCAGGGCAGGGGATGCCCAGGCAGGGGGCTGTGCTCTGGGGGGGCTGTGAAGGGTTCCTGGGGCAGGGGATCCCCAGGTGGGGAGCTGTGCTCTGAGCGGGGGGGGGGGGGGTTGGGAAGGGATCCCGGGGGCAGCTCCACAGGTTTGGAGCAAACCCCCACCCCCGGCTCCTCCCGTGCCCCGTGCCGGGGGCAAAGAGAACCCTGGCTGCCCTGGGGCTCCCCGTGCCCAGCACAGGCCCTGGGAGCCCCGCGGCCCTGGTCTCCAGGGAGTCGTCCCTGCTGGGAGTCCAGCCCTTCTCCCTGCTCGCCCCGGCGGGTCACACACCCAGGGGGCTGCACCTGGGTACCCCGGAGATGCCGGATGCTGGGCCTGGACCCCGTGTCTGCGGGCCCTTTGCGGTGCTCAGCCCCAGGAACCGAAGCCCCTGCCCCCCGCGGCACCTGCTCACGCACCTGCTCTGTGCCCGTTGCAGGGGTGCAGTACGGCCAGGTGGGAGCGGACCTCGTCCTGTCGTGCACCGGCGCCCCCGGACGGTAGGTCCCCACTGGGCGGGGGAGGGTGCCCGGTTTCGGTTCTGGTTCTGCTCACACCAGGGCTGGAACGGACCCAGCTCCAAGCAGGAGGGGTGGAGGGGGAGACCCCGACCCCACAGCTCTGTGCTGCCCCTCACTCCCAACCCGCAGCCCCCTGCTAGCCCAGCCCTGGGTCCCCACCCCACAGCTCTGTGCTGCCCCTCACTCCCGACCCGCAGCCCCCTGCTGTCCCAGCCCTGGGTCCCCACCCCACAGCTCTGTGCTGCCCCTCACTCCCGACCCGCAGCCCCCTGCTGTCCCAGCCCTGGGTCCCCACCCCACAGCTCTGTGCTGCCCCTCACTCCCGACCCGCAGCCCCCTGCTCCCTCCCCCCCCCCCCACTCTCCCCCCCCCCCCACCCCAGCCCCCTCTTCCCAGCCCTGGGTCCCCACCCCACAGCTCTGCCTGCCCCTCCTCCCAACCCGCAGCCCCCTCTCCCAGCCCTGGTCCCCGCCCCCACACTCTGGCTCCCCTCACTCCCGACCCCAGCCCCCTCCCAGCCCTTCCCCCCCCCACACTCTCCCCCCCCCCCCCCACCCCCCACCCCCCTTTCCCACCCTGGGTCCCCGCCCCACAGCTCTGCCGTGCCCCTCCTCCCAACCCCACCCCTCCCCCCCTCCCCACCCCACACTTTCCCCCCCCCGCCCAGCCCCCCACCCCACACTCGTCGCCCCCCCCCCCGACCCGCCCCCTCTCCCCCCTGTCCCCACCCCACACTCTGTCCCCCTCCTCCCGACCCCAGCCCCCTCTGTCCCAGCCCTGGGTCCCCACCCCACAGCTCTGCCGGTGCCCCTCACTCCCAACCCGCAGCCCCCTGCTGTCCCAGCCCTGGGTCCCCAGCCCCACAGCTCTGTGCTGCCCCTCACTCCCGACCCGCAGCCCCCTGCTGTCCCAGCCCTGGGTCCCCGCCCCACAGCTCTGCCGGTGCCCCTCACTCCCAACCCGCAGCCCCCTGCTGTCCCAGCCCTGGGTCCCCACCCCACAGCTCTGTGCTGCCCCTCACTCCCGACCCGCAGTCCCTGCTATTCCAGTGCTCACACACCAGCCGTGCTGGGTCTGGACGTGGCAATGCCAGGATCCAGGCCCTCTCTCTCTGCTAACCGAGTGCCCGGCCTCCTGTCCCCAGCTCGGGGGTGGAGTGGCGGCGGGACGGGGCGGCCGCGCTCCCGGAGGGCTGCATCCTGCGGGACAGCGACCTGCTGCTGCCAGAGGCCGAACTTGCTGCGGGAGGAGACTACAGCTGCCATGACGGGACCGGGCAGCTCCTCCGCTCCGTCTCCCTCCGGCTGGGCTGTAAGTCAGCTCCCACGCGGGGCACCGGGGGGCCGGGCAGGGGCAGGGCTGGGCAGGGGATGCCCCTTCTGGGACCTGACTGGACCCGCTTGTCACCGGGGTGAACGTGCTGCTTTCCACGCTGCCGGGAGGCCAGCTGTGCCGGGCGTTGGCTGCCTGCTCCATGGCCAGGGGATAGGCCTCAGCGGGCAGCCCCCCCATCCCTTCACACAGCCCCCCATGGGTGCCCTTGGCTCCATCGGGGACTTTAGTACCCAGCCCAGCACCCCCTAGCAGCTGAAAGCCCAGGGTGTCGGGGCGGGAGGCTCTGGTTTGCTGGGGGCCCCTGGAGAGTCCCCTAAACGTCTCCTCCCTTCCGGCACCAGACCTGCCCGGGATCCCGTCCGTCACCTGCCGAGCTTCTGACTACGAGAATTTCTCCTGTTCCTGGACACCCAGCGTGGAGACGTTCCTCCCCACCAGATACATCACCACCTACCGGTAGGGCTGGGCCATGTGTGCAGGGGGGGGATGCCACTCGCTTTGGGGTGTTAGCCACGGTGGCCTCAGCTCGGGGAACACCTTCGGTTCTCCCTGCAGACAGGATTCCCTGTCGCGTCCTGGCCTCAAGCTCTGAGTAGCATCCCTATGCATTGCGTTCCACCCCAGACTTGGCTGCATTTCAGGGGAGATGGAGAGTCCAACCTTGTTTATGAAAATGAGATGGGGCCATAAAAGTATTGTTGATGAATGACTCTGGGTTTGGCTGGAGACTTCTCATCCCCGGGAGGGTGGGCTGGGTTTGCAGGTGGGCGGGGATCAGAGTGACTGAAGTTTGCTGCCTGTCGCAGCCTCAGGAAGCACTTTGGGGTCTGCTCGGATGAAAGATGTTGGGGAAATAAGAGAACCGTGTTTTTCATTATCACAGAGCTCTCAGTTATCCGACAGTGGGTCTTTGAACCCAGCCCTGCTTATTAAAACAGGCCGAGCGGCGTTTTCTGGGGGCTGCCGCTGGCTTGCTGCGGGGCGCATGCTTGAGGAACCCGTTTTCCTTCAGTTAAAACAACTCCAGAGCTGGGGGTTTGTGGCCAGGTGCCCTGGAGCCGCTTCAGTCCCGTGCCCGGAGCCCGGCTTTAACGAGGCAGAAATCCGGCCTGGGGCGGCTGCTGGCGGCGGTGGAAGTCGGAGCTGGGAAGGCCCCTCCACGGCCCAGCGCCATCACCCCACCCCATGGAATGCTGGCTGGGCAAGTGGCGCGCTCCCCGGGCAAACCGCCGGGGGGCGGGGGTGAAATCTGCACAGGGATCGGTTTGGAAGCGAGGATGGAAAGCACCAGGAGTGTTGGAAAAGGCAAAGCCAGCTGCCAGGGAGTGGCCAAGTGCCTCTGTCTGCTCGTGTGAGAATGAAGTCATTCGATAGAAACGGATCAGATAGAATCATAGAATATCAGGGTTGGAAGGGACCTCAGGAGGTCATCTAGTCCAACCCCCTGCTCAAAGCAGGACCAATCCCCAATTAAATCATCCCAGCCAGGGCTTTGTCAAGCCTGACCTTAAAAACTTCTAAGGAAGGAGATTCCACCACCTCCCTAGGGAACCCATTCCAGTGCTTCACCACCCTCCCAGTGAAATTTTTTTTCCTAATATCCAATCTAAACCTCCCCCACTGCAACTTGAGACCATTACTCCTCGTTCTGTCATCTGCTACCACTGAGAACAGTCTAGATCCATCCTCTTTGGAACCCCCTTTCAGGTAGTTGAAAGCAGCTATCAAATCCCCCCTCATTCTTCTCTTCTGCAGACTAAATAACCCCAGTTCCCTCACCCTCTCCTTGTAAGTCATGTGTCCCTTCCCCAGTAGTGTGGGGCCCAAAACTGGACACAGTACTCCAGATGAGGCCTCACCAATGTCGAATAGAGGGGAACGATCACGTCCCTCGACTTATACATCCCAAAATGCCATTAGCCTTCTTGGCAACAAGGGCACCCTGCCGACTCATATCCTGCTTCTCGTCCACTGTAGATAGATGGGTGTGGCTGGGGACGGGTGGGTGAGTGTGTGGGTGGAGAGAGATGGGGGGTGGATGGATGGATGGATGGATAGCTAGGTAGATGGGCGTGTGTCGGGACGGATGGGTGGAGAGATGGATGGAGAGAGTTGGGGGGTGGATGGAGGGCTGGAGAGATGGGTCTGTGTGGGACATAAGCCCTGAGGAGTCCCTAGCAGAGCTGTGCAGAAATGGGGGAGGCCGTTTTCCCGGGTGATTACCTGTTGCTGTCTGGGGCACCTTCCTGCCCCCCCGTAAGACGTGGGGACCCGGCGTCTGTTTCTGGAGCAGAGAACGTGCCCAGCCGTTGATTGGTTTCCATGTTCGGCTGCTAGGCCCCCCGTGTTCGGAGCCCGTCTCTCTGCACCCGGCAGTGAGCTTCGGCCTGCCTCTGGCCTGGAGTCACTGACTTGTGGGGTCGGTTCCCGGCCTCCTCCGGCCCCGCCTGCCCAGGGACGCTCCGTCGTGCTGTGAGTCGGGTGGGAGGTCCCTGGCTCGAGGAGCTGTACCCGTGCTAGCCGGGAGCGGGCCAGGGCACTAAGCGCATTGCTTGCCCCACTGCCGGGCATGTGCCTAGAGCCTCCGAGGGGCACGTATTGGGGGCACCTCGCCCCCGCCCAGCACCCTGGCTGTGCAGCCATGCCATGTGATTAGCGCTCTGGCCCAGTCAGATTTAGCAGGGATACATCTGCTCGCCTGGGAACTGCCCCCAGCTCACCGCGTAGCCACCCGCAGGGTGGGAGCTCCCCAGGGCCGGGCTGAGCCTTGGGTACGGGCAGCCCCCAGCACAGCCAGGGCCCAATCCTGCCTGGGGCCTTTGGGGGCCTGCGCAGTGCAGTTGTGCTGATCGCTTTCCTCGTGGGCCTGGCTCTGCACTCAGGGGCCAAGGCGAGCAGGGCCCCGCCCCAGGCAGCGCGACAAGGGGAGTGAATGGTCGCAGTGCTTCGCTCCCACAGCATGCATCCCTCCCTCATTTTCAATGCACTGGCCACAGGAAGGTCGAGCGCATTAGCCCCATTCTGCGGAGGGGGAAACTGAGGCACACTGGGTGGCACAGGGTGTTGGAGGCAGAGCGGGACTAGAACTCCTGGAGCGGCCCCCTGTCCGCTGAACCGCCCGGGGTGTGTAATGCGAGGCAGGGCGTAGGAGAGCAGGATGCTGTGTGTGTATCCGGGGGCTGGGGACCGGCTCGGAGCCATTTGCTCCCACACCTGGCGGGGGCGGGAAATGCCGCCCCGGAGCAGATTGAGGGAGGAACAGGGCACCGGGCAGGTTCCCAAAGAGCAGCCGCCCTGGGAGGCCGGGAGCAGGGTCTCAGCCGGGGTGGGGAGATCCTCCGGGCTGTGTGAGGGACACCGCTGAGCCCCTGGGGGAATAGAGCGGCTGCCTCAGCCGGGGGCCTGTCGCCTCTGTGGGGAGGTGTTGGGGCCCAGTGGGGACAGAGAATTCAGGGGCTCGACAGGGGCCCGGCACTGGGGTCAGGGGAGCGGCTCTCAAGTTACCCCAGAGCAAAATCAGGGCCCTTGTCCCCAGGCTGCTGCAAGGGCCCGATTCCGCCCCAGGGGAGCCGATCCCCGCCACAGAGAGGAGAGCTGGACCCAGTGTCCAAGCTGCCTGGCTGGGGAAGCTGCCGTCCTGTCCTTCCCTGTGGGCGGCCTGTAATGGGAAAAGTCTCCCAGCCGGATCTTCCAGCTGCTCCTGCCCCAGGGCCGTGGCCAGTGCTCTGGGAGGGAGGATTTGCTCTCGGAGGCGAGCCTGGGCTCGGCTCCCCATGCTGCCGTGGGAGGAAGGAAGCTGCGGGTCCCTTTGAAGCTGGGGAGAGCTGGTGCAGGGCTCCGGCCCCTCCTTCTCCCCTCCAGGCCCCCCTTTGGGCACAGGGTCAGTGCCTAGCTCCGGGCGGAGAGGGGGTTCCACGGGCGCCCAGAGGATGGTGGGGGGGCGGATCCTGCAGGCTGACCTCCGTAGGCTGCAGACAGACACGGAGCATGGCCGGGGCTCACCCTGGGAAGCACAAGCCCCTGTTAGACCCTTCGTGGGACGTCACCAGCCGCCACCACTAGCAGCCAGACAGCCCGGGCCAGTGCACTGCACGGGGGCCATGCACGGCAGGGTCTACCCCCAGTGGGGACGCTCCCAGGATTCCCAGGCGGGGCGTGTGGACGTGTTACGTGACTCAGGGTTGGGGCCGGGGCAGGGCTGTCGGGTGACGAGGGGGCGAGGAGGCGCCAGCTGGCTGCGTTTGGCACAGTCGTTCCTCTTCACGCCCGGGCACTTTGCAAAGTGTCACCTGTGTGCTTCCCTCAGCACAGGCATGCAGCCACCTCTGGGGTGGAGCACAGCCGCTGTTGTCAGCACGGGGCAGCTCCACGCCGCTGGTTAGGCCAGGAAGTGACAAACTGCGGCCTGTTCCCAGGAACGGACGAGAGACCGAGCGGGATCCTCTCCCCCCGCTGGGTCCCGCCTGGGATCCTGGGGCTGACAGCTCTGCCCCCCGTGCTCGAGTTGCTGCTGCGGCCCTGCCCGAGGAACCTGCGGCCTAACCCTGGCACAGACCCCACGGCCTGGCACTTGTAAATCGCGTGATGCGCTGCGCTCGCCCCCCGGGCGTGCGAGGGATGCGGCCAGCGGCACAGCGCCCCCTAGTGCCGCACTGCGGCCCGGGCACCTGCGTTGGCTCCGAGCGAGGAGCGCCCCCTGCTGAATGCATTCGGCCTCCCTGCAGTGCCCGGGGCTTCTCTCCAGCCCCTGCCTGCGACCCCCAACGTGTCTCTGCAGCTGGGTTTGGAAGCGTGCCGGGGAGCCAGGGCCAGTGACGGCCTCCCCCTCCCCGCCTCTGCCCCCGGGCCCGGCCCCCCGGCCGGGTTTGCTGGCACGTTTCCAAAGCCCCGTCCTGGGCCCCAAGACTCACTGGCTGCCTTCCCGTTTCTCTCCACGACCAGGAAGAAATTGCTGATGGACAGTGAGAAATGGAGGTAGGACCCGGCTCCTCCCCTACCCGCTACAGCCCAGTCCCGGACCCTGATTGCCCGAGGGTGCCCGGGCCCCGGAATGGCTGGCACTGTGCCAGGGGCCCTGCTGTGCTTGCTGGAGCCCCCTGAATCCACCCCACAGCACCCACCGTACCCGTGATGCCCAGTGCCCAGCCTGGCATGGCACAAGCAGAATTAGCCGGCTGGTCCGCAGTGAGGCCGGGCCCGAACCCCCGTCCCGCAGGGCAGGCGAGGCACATGGCTGGGCGGGGAGCTTGCCTGGCGCTGCCCACTCTGGGGGGAGAAGGGGCTGGAGTCTCCGGAGCTGGCACCTACTGGGTCCAGTTTCCCCCTCCCCCCGGCCCCAGCCCCTGGCCAGGGACTCCGAGACCTGCCCCCAGTCCTGGACCCACGGCAGCCTGGCCAGCCCCTTGCCAGGGGCCCCGCCCCAGCCGCTCACCCCCGGCCCGCCCTGTCCGGCCTGCGGAGCCGGGTCCCTGCCTTACAGCCGGAGCCCGTACGCACGCTGCCCAAGGCCCAGTGCCCCCAATCCGGCCCCCACACGTCATCCTGCAGCCCCCGCAGGAGTTTCCAGCCCGATAAACATCCTGGCCCGTTTCCTGTCGTGCCAGCACATGAGAACAACGCTGTGGGGAATCCCCACCCAGCCCTGGCGCCCCACCTTCCTGCCACAGGAAGAAAAGGGGCCTGGCGCCAGCCCAGAGGCTCCCCGCTGCCCCCGGGGCTCTCTGCGCCATGGCCCCTGCCCCATCCCATGGCCTCGGTGCCCTGCCTTCCCTTTGCTGCTCCTCACCAGGCTGCAGCTCCCGGGCCAGCTGCTCTGCAGGGCTGGTGTATTCGGGCCCTAGACCATGCCCAGGCTGCGGCTGCCAGTGCACGGGCCGTATGCATGCGGGGCCTGCCGCAGGATTTGCACAGACCTGCCTGTGAGTGTGCCATGCACGGGCCTGCATGCACGGGCCAGCCCCTCACAGGGGTGTGCCCGCACCCGGGTGCCTGCGTGACTCCCAGCACGGCTTTGCACGAGGGGCTTGGGGATCACATGGTGAGCAAAAGTCTGTGTGTGTGGCAGGGCATGGCAGGGCAGGGGGTTACCTGGCGCATGCCCATCTAGACTGGCTGGCACAGTGCTTTAGTACAAAGGGGCCCCCTGTGCCTGCTCTTTGGGGGCAGTTGGGACATAGACACCCCCAGCTTTCCTGGTTTGCCATTCAGACCCTGTCCCAGCCTGCGCTGAAGGACCGGCCTGGCCAAGGTCACAGCTGCGTGGCACTTGGGGGCCATGGGTCCGGTGCCTTGGCGCCCCGCCCCGGCTGTGTTTGCTATGTGGGCGAGAGCTTTTCACCCCGCAAAACAGCTGTGGCTCGGCAGCCTGGCACCGACTGCCCTGTGCTCTCGTCAGCAGGACCCAGCCCAGCCAGGTGGGGCCGTGCGTGCAGGACCCCGGGCACCCGCGCACCTGCAGCGTGCACAAGTGTGAGTTCTGGAGCTCCTACCGGCTGAACGTCACCGAGGTGAACCCGCTGGGCTCCAGCTTCCGGCTGCTCGACGTCACCATGCAGGCCATCAGTGAGTGCCAGCCCCCACCCCATGGGCACTGAGCAGGGCCCTGCCTGGCAGGCGGCCCCCACGGGCAGGCCGCTCCTTCCCCATGGCCCAGCCAGCCCTGGACTGCGGCTGCCAGCAAGGGGCCAATTCAGGCCAAGCCTGGGGGCTGTGGCGAACCGGGCTGAGGGCTCTGGGGTCCTCCCCTGCCCTACGGCTGAGCCACTCCCCACCCTGGGTAGAGCCCCCAGGGGAGCCCTTGGGAGGCAGCGGCCCAGCGGGATGGGCTCACGGTGCTGCCCATGTCTGTCCCGTCCAGTTAAGCCGGATCCTCCGGAAGGCCTGGTGGTGGAGCCGGTCCCGTCGGCCCCGCGGCGGCTGCGGGTTCGCTGGCAGTATCCGGCCTCCTGGCCCAAGCAGCCGCACTTCCAGCTGAAGTTCCGGCTCCAGTACCGGCCCGTCGCGCACGGCTCCTGGTCCATGGTGGAGACCGTGAACCTCTCTGAAGTCATCACCGACGCCTTCTCCGGCCTGGAGCACGTGGTGCAGGTGGGCGCCAAGGACTTCCTGGACGCCGGCAACTGGAGCGAGTGGAGTGCCGAGGCGCGGGCCACGCCCGGGCCAGGTGAGGAGGGGCAGCCGGGGCGCCCAGGGCCAGGGCTGCGGGGACGGGGCAGGAAGGCATCTCTGGGGACTCTGCCGGGGGTCAGTCTCCTGAGCGTCTCCTGGGCCAGCGCTTCTCACTGAAGGTTTTGCAACCCCCGCCCTGCTCTCCCCCCAGCCTGGTGCGGGATGATTTACCCTGGGATGAATGAGTTGGGGATTGGTCCTGCTCTGAGCAGGCGGTTGGACTAGGTGACCTCCTGAGGTCCCTTCCAACCCTGATATTCTATGATTCTATGACTCCTGCCCGGCTCTCCCCTGGGCCTGGCGCGGGCCCCGCCCGGCTCTCCCGTGGCCTGGCACAGCCCCCGCCCTGTGGGACTGGATGTGGCCCCTGCCCCAAGTAACCAGACTCTCTCCTGCCGTCGCTTGCAGGCCTGACCGTGACGCCAGGCGACGAAGCCACCACCGACGCCGGCCTGGAGAGCCCGGCCGAGATGCCCTCGCTGGCCCCCAACCCGGAGCCCATCGGTGAGCGGCCCCTTCGTAGCACTGACAGGGGAGCCAGGGAGGGCGACTGGGGCCCATGGTGGAGGCTGGGGGCTGCGAGGGCGAGGTCCTGGCCTAGCCAGTGCAGCGGGCAGCGCCTGGCGGGTGGGAGCAAGGCCCCCCTGTGCCTGGCCAGGCACCGTGCCCACACCCAACCCGCACGGATTGAGGTGCCCAGGGCCAGCGAGCCAGCGTACAGACTGTCCCCCTCCTCTGGGTGAGGAGCTGCCCAGAGCAGGGGGAGCTGCGAGGAGGCGAGGTTTGCAATGGGGCAGCCGGGCTTGGCGGAATGAATGCCAGTCAGCATGGCACGGAAAGAGCTGCCCAGATGCTGTCCCTGTGAATGGGGCACCTGCCTCTTTACCAAAGGCCAGGCAACTGGGTGCTCCTGGGTCTCTGATGAACATGTCAGGGGCAGGAGGGGGTGGCACTAACCTACCTGCCTAGTCCTCGCTGCGTGGTGTCGTGGAGCCGGTGGGGTGCCCTGAGAGCTGTGGGCATCCCCTGGCAGTGACGTCTGTCTGTCCGTCCCCACAGATCGCAGCGACCCCATGGAGAAGGTCGCCATCCTGATCTCACTTGGGATCTTCTCTTTCTTCATCCTGGCTGTGGTTCTGGGCATCACCATCGCAGTCTGGTAGGTGCCCCACGCCCGTGGCTGGGACAGGCCCTTTGGCAGCACAGGGCGGGCAGGGGCAGGGGTGCTGGGCTCACCCTCTGAGCTCAGTCAGTCACCTCATGTGGGACCCGGGCGCAGGATGCTGGCTGCGGACAGAGGGCTCCGGCTGGAGCTCTCGGCTTTGCACTGACTCATGCCAGGCCCCGGGCATGTGGCAAGGGAGGGTGGCACCGCTAAGGAACCCCTCAAGCCAGAGCCTGCCAGGCATCGCGGGGACAAAGCCTGAGCTGGCACTGCCCAGCCGTGCTCCTGGCACCCATTTCCCAGTCATCCCGTGGGCCTGTCTGTCGCCACCCCACTGCCAGCCGGCTGCATCCTGGCGCCCCCAGCCTGGGTCCTGCCGTTCCCCCAGCCTGCTGCGCTCGGCAGGGCCAAGCCTGGAGTGAGCAGAGCAGGGCCTGGCCGGGAGAATTGTCTCCGGGCCGCAATGAGAGCTGGCAGTGGGTCTGGATCCCGTTCAGGCTGTGGGACCCCTCTGCCCCAGGGCCACATGGCTCTGCCTGTGCAGCCCCCGGCTGGGGGTCTGGCTGTTCTCCTCCTTCCAGCCACCCCTGCTTGCTAGTCACTCCACAGCCTAGGGTTGCCCCACACCGCAGGGAACCCCCCACATGCCCCAGAGTCACCCCACACCCCAGGGAACCCTCCCATGCCCCAGGTTCACCCCACACACCAGGTGTCACGGAGTGTGGGGGAGTCCAGGCCCTGCACCCCTCTTCCTGGGATCCACTGAGACTCTCAGCCAGCCAGTAAAACAGAAGGTTTATTGGACAACAGGAACACAGTCCACAACAGAGCTTGTGGGTACAACCCGGACCCCTCAATCACGTCCTTCTGGGGGAGCAGGGAGCTTAGACCCCAGCCCTGGGGTTCCCTGTGTTCCTCTCCCCAGCCTCCAACTGCCAACTAACCCCACCCAGCAGGTTCCCTGCTGCAGCCTCTGTTCACATTCCCGGGCAGAGGTGTCACCTCCCCCTCCCCCTCCCGGCTCAGGTGACAGGCTCTCAGGTCTCCCATCCCCAGGGCACATTCCCAGGTCAACACTCCCCCCTCCCTGCTGGGTCACATCGTCACATCTCTGCCCCCTTCGAGACTGAACGGAGCGGGGTCACTGTGACCAGTGACCTGAGGAAGTTCGGGGCCCCCTCTCCGGGACAGCGCATCCGCTATCAGGTTGGCACTTCCCTTCACGTGGACCACGTCCATGTCGTAATCCTGCAGGAGCAGGCTCCATCTCAGGAGTTTGGCGTTGGCTCCTTTCATCTGGTGCAGCCAGGTCAGGGGAGAGTGGTCGGTGTACACGGTGAAGTGCCGCCCGAAGAGATAGGATTCTAGTTTCTTGAGGGCCCACACCATGGCCAGGCACTCCTTCTCGATGGCCGCGTAGTGTTGCTCCCGGGGTAGCAACTTCTTGCTCAGGTACACGATGGGGTGTCTCTCCCCCTTTTCATCCTCCTGCATTAACACCGCCCCCAGTCCCGTGTCTGAGGCGTCGGTGAACACCACAAAGGGCTTGTCAAAGTCTGGGTTCGCCAGAACTGGGCCACTGACCAGAGCCTCCTTCAGCGCCCGGAAAGCCACCTGGCACTGCTCGGTCCAGACCACCTTGTCTGGCTTCCCCTTCTTGCATAGCTCAGTGATGGGGGTGGCTATGGCGCTAAAGTGGGGCACAAATCTTCGGTAGTATCCTGCCATCCCAATAAAGGCTTGGACCTGCTTTTTGGTGTGGGGAGCGGGCCAGTCTCTGATCACCTCCACCTTGGCTGGTTCCGGCTTTAGGCGGCCGCTCCCCACCCGATGGCCCAGGTAAGACACTTCCGCCATCCCCACCTTGCACTTCTCCGCTTTACAGTCAGCCCAGCCCCCTGGAGTCGGTCCAGCACTTGTCTAACCTGGGACACGTGGTCCTCCCAGGTCTGGCTAAAGACACAGATGTCATCAATATATGCCACGGCAAAACTCTCCATCCCCCTCAGGAGCTGATCCACCAGGCGCTGGAAGGTGGCCGGCGCTCCCTTGAGGCCGAAAGGCAGGGTCAGGAACTCATAGAGCCCCAGAGGGGTGATAAAGGCCGATTTCAGCCGGGCATCTGCATCCAGCGGCACTTGCCAGTAGCCCTTTGTAAGGTCCATGGTGGTGAGGTACCGAGCTCCTCCCAGCTTGCCTAGGAGCTCGTCCGGCCTGGGCATGGGGTAGGCACCAGATACAGTGATGGCATTGAGCTTCCCATAGTCCACACAGAACCGGACCGACCCGTCCTTTTTGGGGACCAGCACCACCGGCGAGGCCCAAGGGCTGGCCGATGGCTGGATCACCCCCAAAGCCAGCATGTCCCGGACCTCTCTTTCCAGGTCCTGAGCAGTTTTCCCTGTGACTCGGAAGAGGGAGCATCTTATCGGCGGGTGCGACCCTGTCTGCACCCGGTGGACAGTCAGATTAGTGCGTCCAGGCTGGTTGGAAAACTGCTGTCGGTACGGATGCAGCACCTCCCTGACCTCAGCTTGCTGGGCAGGGGTTAGCTGATCCGAGAGGGGAATTGTCTCCAGGGGGGAACCAGCTCTGGTCCCAGGGAATAGATCTACTAAAGGGTCATCTCCCTGCTCTTCCCACTGTCCACACACGGCCAACACCACATTCCCCCTGGCATAATATGGCTTCATCATATTCACATGGTACACCCGGCGGTGGTGCGCCCGGTTCGACAGCTCCACCACATAGTTTACCTCATTGAGCTGCTTGACGACCTTGAAAGGGCCCTCCCAGGCGGCCTGTAGTTTGTTCTTTCTCACTGGGATGAGAACCATCACCGGATCCCCGGTGGCGTAGGCACGGGCCCGCGCCGTGCGGTCATACCAGACCTTCTGCTTCTTCTGGGCTCTGGCCAGATTCTCCCTGGCCAGGCCCATGAGTTCAGCCAGTCTCTCTCGGAAGATCAGGACATACTCCACCACTGACTCTCCATCGGGAGTGGCCTTCCCCTCCCACTCGTCTCTCATCAGGTCCAGGGGGCCCCTCACCCTCCTTCCATATAACAGTTCGAAAGGCGAAAGTCCGGTAGACTCCTGTGGCACCTCCCTGTACGCGAACAGCAGGTGAGGCAAGTACTTGTCCCAATCCTGCGGGTCCTGGTTCATAAAGGTTTTCAGCATCATCTTTAGCGTCCCGTTAAACCTCTCCACCAGCCCATTGGACTGGGGGTGATAAGCTGAGGCCCAGTCGTGCCGGACCCCACATTTCTCCCACAAGCACCGGAGCAGGGCCGACATGCAGTTGGAGCCTTGGTCTGTCAAGACTTCCTTGGGGAACCCCACTCGGCTGAAAATGGTCAGGAGCGCATCGGCCACGGTGTCGGCTTCAAAGGAAGCTAAGGGCACTGCCTCGGGGTAGCGGGTGGCAAAATCTACCACGACCAGAATGTATTTCTTCCCCGACCGGGTCGTCCTGCTGAGAGGCCCCACGATGTCCATGGCCACCTTCTGGAAAGGCTCCTCTATGATGGGCAAAGGTCTCAAAGCCGCTTTCCCCTTGTCCCGGGCCTTCCCCACCCTCTGACAGGGGTCACAGGATCGGCAATACTGCCGGACCGTGGTAAAGACCCCGGGCCAGTAAAAGTTCTGTAGCAACCTCTGCCGGGTGCGCCGGATTCCCTGGTGCCCTGCGAGGGGGATGTCATGGGCCAGGTACAGGAGCTTGCGGCGATACTTCTGGGGGACCACCAGCTGCCTCCTGATCCCACAGGACTCTACTTCCCTTGTGGGAGCCCATTCTCGGTACAGGAACCCCTTCTCCCACAGGAACCTCTCCTGGCAGCCTCTCCTCATGGTTCGTACCACACCGAGGTCGGCCAGGTCCCTGAGCTTCCGCAAGGAGGGATCTTTCCTCAACTCGGCCTGGAACTCAGCGGCTGGGGAAGGGATGGGGACCGGTTCCCCCTCAGTGGCCAGGTCTGAGGCCTCAGCCTCTCTGAGCCATGCCCCTCGGCCCTCCCTTCCCACCAGGGTAGGGTCCCGCGCCTCCGGTGCGGTACCCTCCCCGAGGTCAGGGAGCAGTGGCCCTCGCCGGCTCTGGCTACGGGTCACTACCAGGGCGGTCTGGGGCTTGCTTGGCCAGTCCTCTAGGTCTCCCCCCATCAAAACTTCAGTGGGCAAATGGTGGTGCACCCCCACATCCTTGGGGCCCTCCTTGGCCCCCCATTTCAGGTGTAACCTTGCCACGGGCACCTTAAATGGGGTCCCGCCCACCCCTGTCAGGGTCAGGTAGGTGTTGGGCACTACCCGATCTGGGGCCACCACCTCGGGCCGGGCCAGCGTCACTTCCGCGCCCGTATCCCAGTATCCATTGACTTTCCTCCCATCCACCTCCAGGGGAACAAGGCACTCTCTCCGGAGGGACAGCCCCGCGCCCACCCTGTAAACTGAGCACCCTGAGTCCAGAGCCTCCAGCCCTCTGGCGGAGCTGGCCTGGGGTACTCTTCCCTCCTGAGCAGGTGGTAAACTGGTAGGCCCCCTTTCCTGGGTCGTCTGCCCCTCGTCCAGCTGGGTCCCTACCCAGTTAACCCTGGGTAGGTTGGGTCTGCTCAGTTTGTCCCTGAGCCCAGGGCACTGGGACCGTACGTGGCCTCTCTGGCCACAGTGATAGCAGCTCAGGTCACGTTGGTCCCCTCGAGCGGGTCGGAGGGGCCCGACGCCAGGCGTTCCCCTTGGGAGGGGGTTCTCCCTATTTCCCCGCTGGGAGGCCCCCGGTGACTCTCTCTCTGCATCGGGGGGGGCCTGTTCTTTTGGGACTCCTCCCGGCTACCCCCTGACCGACTGTTCACAAACTCGTCGGCCAGCTGCCCTGCGTGCTGGGGGTTCTCGAGCTTTTTGTCCACCAACCACAGCCTCAGGTCGGAAGGGCACTGTTCATACAGTTGCTCCAGTACAATTAGGTCAAGCAGGTCCTCTTTAGCTTGGGCCCCAGCTGTCCACTTGCGGGCATACCCCTGCATCCGGTTGGCCAGTTGTAGGTAGGTGACCTCAGGCATTTTACGCTGACTCCGGAACCTTCTCCGGTACATCTCGGGGGTCAGCCCAAACTCACGGAGCAGGGCCTGTTTGAACAGTTCATAGTCCCCTGCCTCCGGCCCTGTCATCCGGCTGTACACCTCCACGGCTTTGGGGTCCAGTAAGGGGGTGAGGAACTGGAGCCTGTCTGCAGGGTCAACCCTGTGCAGCTCACAGGCATTCTCAAAGGCCGTCAGGAAGCTATCTATGTCCTCCCCCTCCTTCCGCTGGGCCAGGAAGCACTTATCAAAGTTCCTTGCAGTCTTGGGTCCCCCCTCACTCACCACAGCCGGGGCCCCACTGCTCCTCAGCCTGGCCAGCTCCAGTTCATGCTGTCTTTGTTTCTCCTTCTCCTGACGTTCCCTCTCCTTCTCCTCCTGCTCATGTTGACGTTGTTTCTCCTTCTCCTCCTGCTCATGTTGACGTTGTTTCTCCTTCTCCTCCTGCTCATGTTGACGTTGTTTCTCCTCATGTTGACGTTGTTTTTCATGATCCTCCAGCTCCCTCATTTTCATCTCCCTCTCCCATTCCAGCCGCCTCCGCTCCAGGGATGGGGAGCTCCGCCGGGAGGATCCCCTGCTGGGTGCTGGGGTCAGGGTGCCCTCGGTATTCGCTGGGCTTCCCCCAACCCCTCCCCCAGACATAGGTAGGAAGGGTCTCGGGATGTCCTCGGCAGCAGTCTGACCCCTCCCAGCCCGGTCAGGCCCCGGGGCCCTGTCACGGAGTCCCTGGGCGATGCTCTGGAACTGCTCCCCATGAAGCCAGTCAGGACTCTGGGGTAGTCGCCTTTCTGTGAGCAGCCTGTCTTCAGGACACGCAGCTCACACAGCTTCCACCTTCCTGGGTCTGACCTCGGAGCATTCAGCATCCTCTGCCCCTCCGTGCGCTTCCCCCAGCGAGTCCGCTCAGGCGGGGCTCCTGGGGAAGCCAGAGGGTCCTGCACCCCAACTCCGCAGTCAGACGTGACTCTCAGCCAGCCAGTAAAACAGAAGGTTTATTAGACGACAGGAACATGGTCTAAAACAGAGCTTGCAGGTGCAGAGAACGGGACCCCTCAGCTGGGTCCATTCTGGGGGGCAGTGAGCCAGACAACCACGTCTGCACTTCACTCCATGTCCCAGCCAGCCCCAAACTGAAAAACCCCTCCAGCCCCTCCTCCTCTGGGCTTTGTTCCTTTCCCGGGCCAGGAGGTCACCTGATTCCTTTGTTCTCCAACCCTTCAGCTCTCACCTTGCAGGGGGGAAGGGCCCAGGCCATCAGTTGCCAGGAAACAGGGTGTCGGCCATTCTCTGTGTCCAGACTCCTGCACACACATGCCCTCTAGGGCACTGCAATGATCATACACCCTTACCCCACCACCTAGATACTTAAGAACTGCCTAGGGGAAACTGAGGCACCCCCACACTATTCAGAGGAAACATTAAGAACAGTCCCACTTCGTCACATCTCCCCCCCTTCGAGATCGAACTGAGCGGGGTCACTTTAGCCGGTGACCTGGGGAAGTTCGAAGCCACCAACGTTCCCATGGATGCCCCAGCATCTCTCCCATTCCTTGGTAGGAGTTACACCAGGCCCTTCCAGTTTCACGCCTCCCTTAGGTCAGGGGTGGTCGATAGCACTCGCAGGCCGCATGTGGGAAGGTTTATGCAGCCCATGCCCTTTGGCCACCCCAAGAATGTCTCCCCATTGACCATCACCTTCTACTCCCACTGGAGGTCCGGGGGCCTGGCCCCAGGAAACTCCACAAGACATATAGGTTGGGGTCACGAGTGGGAGCCTGTCCACATCCCCAACCACCTGGCTGACGGAGTCTATGGCCTTGGGACCCAGCAAGGGAGCTAGACACCGGGGCTTTTCCGCAGGGTCCCCTTGGTTCAAATCGCCAGCCTGCTCAAAGGCAGTGAGGTGGGCATCCACACCCCCCTCCTTAACCAGGGGCAGCAATTTAGTCTCGAGGTTCCCTGCGGAACTGGCCCCCCGGGATCTATCCCCACTCACCCCGGGAGGTCCCCAGGCCTCTCCGCCCCACCACCGCCAGTTCATGCTGCTGCTTTCTGCAGCTCTTTCTCGGGCTCTCGCTGTCTCCCACGGTCCTCTTGCTCTCTCAGACTCAGCTCCAATCCCGTCCGTCTCGATCCCCGATGGGGAACCCGATCATGAAGACCCTGTCTGGTCGGGGACAGGAGTCTTGGCGATGCCTGGCTCCCGCTTCAGCTGCTCCCAGATCCTGCTATAGCCCCAGTTGGGGTCAGGAATCTGTTCCTTAGAGCGGTCATCCTCCTCCAGCTGCACGATTAACTCTGCTTTGGTGAACTTTCCAACGCTCAGCCCTCTCTTTCTGCACAGGGTTACAATGTCCTTCTTAAGGAGACAGTGACAGGCCATCACTCCGCTCCTCCCAAGTTGTTGTGGACTCACAGGCCCGTGTGTTCTCAGCTCCCCACGGTTTCCAGGGAGAACCCCTAGTGTGCCAGCCCTTCTCGAGGTCACCCCCTCTTTGCCAGGGTCGAGCTGCAGACTCCTCCGCCCCTTGGACTGCTCGCTGCAATCCCCAGGGGAACCCTGTTACTGCACAGTCCTTCTCACTGGTCACACACTCCCAGGGGTTAACCGCCCCCGAAACCGCTCCTCTCTGAGCCTTCAGCAGGCCTGGTCCTCAGCAATCCCCCTTCGTGTTACTGCTCCCCAGTCACTTACTGCAGGAAGCGCCATCCACGGGGTGCAGTAGATCCCACCGCTGCCACCAGTTGTCACGGAGTCCCTGGGCGATGCTCTGGAACTGCTCCCCATGAAGCCAGTCAGGACTCTGGGGTAGTCGCCTTTCTGTGAGCAGCCTGTCTTCAGGACACGCAGCTCACACAGCTTCCACGTTCCTGGGTCTGACCTCGGAGCATTCAGCATCCTCTGCCCCTCCGTGCGCTTCCCCCAGCGAGTCCGCTCAGGCGGGGCTCCTGGGGAAGCCAGAGGGTCCTGCACCCCAACTCCGCAGTCAGACGTGACTCTCAGCCAGCCAGTAAAACAGAAGGTTTATTAGACGACAGGAACATGGTCTAAAACAGAGCTTGCAGGTGCAGAGAACGGGACCCCTCAGCTGGGTCCATTCTGGGGGCAGTGAGCCAGACAACCACGTCTGCACTTCACTCCATGTCCCAGCCAGCCCCAAACTGAAAAACCCCTCCAGCCCCTCCTCCTCTGGGCTTTGTTCCTTTCCCGGGCCAGGAGGTCACCTGATTCCTTTGTTCTCCAACCCTTCAGCTCTCACCTTGCAGGGGGGAAGGGCCCAGGCCATCAGTTGCCAGGAAACAGGGTGTCGGCCATTCTCTGTGTCCAGACTCCTGCACACACATGCCCTCTAGGGCTCTGCAATGATCATACACCCTTACTCCACCCCCTAGATACTTAAGAACTGCCTAGGGGAAACTGAGGCACCCCCACACTATTCAGAGGAAACATTAAGAACAGTCCCACTTCGTCACAGGCCCACGCTGCGTCTGCCGGGCGGCTCCCCTCAGGGACAGGGATCGGGTCATCCAAGCGATCCCTCTCCTCCAACTGGGCAATCAGTTGTTCCTTGGTGGACCTCCCAATGCGCAGCCCCCTCTGCCTGCACAGCTCCACCAGGTCACTCTTAAGGCGTTTAGCGTACATCTCCCTGCTGGCCACTCGCAGGCCGGGCAGCTTCCCACCGTTTCCAGGAAAAGCCCTTAGTGTGCCAGTCCTTCTTGAGGTCACCACCTCTTTGCCAGGGTCGAGCTGCAGACTCCTCCGCCCCTGGGACCGCTCGCTGCAATCCCCGGGGACCCTGTTACTGCAAAAGTCTTTCTCTCTGGTCACACATTCCCAGGGGTTAGCCGCCCCCCGAAACCGTCTCTCTCTGAATCTTCAGCACGCCTGGTCCCCGTCAATCCCCCTTCGTTTTACTGTTCCCCAGTCACTTACTGCAGGAAGCGCCGTTCACGGGGTGCAGTAGATCCCACCGCTGCCACCAGTGTCACGGAGTGTGGGGGAGTCCAGGCCCTGCACCCCTCTTCCTGGGATCCACTGAGACTCTCAGCCAGCCAGTAAAACAGAAGGTTTATTGGACAACAGGAACACAGTCCACAACAGAGCTTGTGGGTACAACCAGGACCCCTCAATCACGTCCTTCTGGGGGAGCAGGGAGCTTAGATCCCAGCCCTGGGGTTCCCTGTGTTCCTCTCCCCAGCCCCAAACTGCCAACAACTCACCCAGCAGGTTCCCTGCTGCAGCCTCTGTCCACATTCCTGGGCAGAGGTGTCACCTCCCCCTCCCCCTCCTGGCTCAGGTGACAGGCTCTCAGGTCTCCCATCCCCAGGGCACATTCCCAGGTCAACACTCCCCCCTCCCTGCTGAGTCACATCGTCACACCAGGGAACCACCCCCCCATGTGCCCCAGAGTCATCCCACACCCAGAGTCACCCCACATGCAAGGGAACCCCCCCCATTTGCCCCAGGGTCATCCCATGGCCCAGAGTCACCTAGACCCAACTCCCAGGGGTTGGGGGGGCTAGATTCATTAGTGATCCCAGGGCCTGGGGGGAGCTGGGACGTTCCTGGGCACCAAGTACCAATCTTTGCTAAGAGGTTACGGTGTAAGGGGCTGCACCAGCTAGCCGGGTCCCCTCTGGGGATCTGTCCTGCCGGGCTGCGGGGGAACTGGCTGAAGCTATGGCCAACGCGTGGAGACTGCAGAGCACCACCAAACCCTCTGCTCTGCCCCCAGGCTCCGTCTGAGAAAACCCAGCAAAGATGAGACCAAGAAGCACGACTTCCTGGCAGCTGCCGTGCACATGAGGGCCCTGCCCAGTGAGTGACCTGGGGTCCGGGGAGGAGGGGGGCAGCGTGAGACAGTGTTGGGTGGAGGGCATGGGGCAGCGTGCTGGCTGACGTAGGGCTGCAGAAGGGGAGGGCGTGGGGCAGCGTACTGGCTGGCGTGGCGTGGGGCTGCACGGGGTGCTATGGGACCCCACGGCTCAGGGCGTGGGTACGGATTGGCGCTGCGTGCCATGGCATGGACTGGCACAGGCTAGCAGAGGCTGGCAGTGGGTTACCAGGCCATGGGGACTGGGCAGTATGTGGGCCCTGTACGGCCGGGTGCGGGACGTCAGGACGGTGCGGGTGAGGAGGGCATGTGGTGGCATGGGGGCATGGAACGGGAGGGCAGGGAGACAGGGACGAGAGGGAGGCTGGGGGCCACCCCCGCTGACGGCTCAGACAGCCGGGGGGCAGCGGGTTGGTGGATAAGAGCTGGGGCGAGGCCGGGGGGCAGCGTCTGCATTGAGATGGGGGACGAGCGGCCGGGCACTGCCCCATGGGCAGGGCGGTTCTGGCTGACAATGGGCGTGGGGCAGTGCTGACCAGTGAGGGGGGGTCCCTGAGCCCCTCCCCCTGCAACCTGCTCTCTCTCTCTCTCCGCAGAGGCCCAGATCTTGTAGCAGGACCTGCAGACACCGCCCGCCTGCTCGCCCACCCGCCCAGGACTATGCAGTCTGCCCTTGCCAGCGCCTCGCCCGGACCCCAGGACAGACTCTCGCGGGCACCTGAGGGAGACGGGCCCGGCTCTCGGAGGGCACTGCCTGCTCCCCGGCAGCAGCAGGGGCAGGCGATGGGGTCGGTGCCATGGTCCGGCCCTGCGCCCGGGTCCTGCCGTTGGCGCCAGCGTGTGGACCTGAACCGGATCCGCGCCCAATGGGGGGCGAGGCGGGGGCATCCCTGCGGCGTCCGCAGAGCTGAGGAGCCCGGGCTCATGGACAGGGGACCCGGGGACCCCAACCCAGGCCAGGCACGTGGCTGGGGTCCTGGCGGATCCGTGGACATTGGGAGGCCGGGCTGGGGGTGCTGGCGGGCGTGTGAGGGTGACACTGACCCCTCCCCACCCTGAACCCCCCCTCCAGTGGCTGGGAGGACTCCCCCTCCCCCCACCCCCCGGGGCTTGTCCAGCCCCTCCGGGCAGCGCCCTGGGATCCCAATAAAGGGGGTTGTGACAGCAGGGTCCAGGCCGGCTCTCTCTGCACAGCGCCAGGGGGCAGCTCCGCTGGGGGTCAGAGCCAGTGGGAGATGGGCTGGTTATTGCTCAACCCCCCGGAAGAGAGGCCTGAGGGGGGGCCGCCAGCCTTCAGGCCCCCCCGCCAGCCCTGCCTCTGCTTGTTCCAGGTGCCATGGGGCTGAGGGGGGCTCTGAGTCCCTGGTGCCATGGGGGGTTGCTTTGCCTGACAGCTGGACCCCGGCACAGTGGGAGCAGCCCAGGGGCTCCCCCAGGGGAGGTTTGATGGGGCTGCCCTTGCCAGCCAGAGGGGCTCAGGGCAGGGGGGCAGCAGGGGTGAGGGGTGGCAGCAGCAGTTTCCCCCCCCCGCCCCCGTAGAGGTTCTGCCTGGACCCACTCTCCCAACGCTGGGTAATGGCTCCCACATGTTGGCTCCCGGCTGGGGCTGCAGCCCGGCCTGGGCAGCCAGCGGCCCAGGGCCACAATCACATCCAGATGGGATGGAACGTGCCAGAGCCGAGAGCCTGGCGGGGAGCGGGAGGAGCTGGGGGCGGGGGGGGGGGGGGGAGAACAGGGCAGGGAAGGGGGCGCTGGCCCTGGGCTGGGGGGGAGGGGTCACTGGTAGCAAGCTGGGGGGTGCAGCGGGAGGGGCGCTGGCCCTGGGCTGGGGGGGGAGGGAGGAGGAGGCGCTGGCCCTGGGCTGGGGGGTGCAGCGGGAGGGGCGCTGGCCCTGGGCTGGGGGGTGTTGGGGGAGGGGTGCTGGCCCTGGGCTGGGGGGTTCTGGGGGAGGGGGCGCTGGCCCTGGGCTGGGGGGTGTTGGGGGAGGGGTGCTGGCCCTGGGCTGGGGGGTTCTGGGGGAGGGGGCGCTGGCCCTGGGCTGGGGGGTATTGGGGGAGGGGGCGCTGGCCCTGGGCTGGGGGGTATTGGGGGAGGGGGCGCTGGCCCTGGGCTGGGGGGTGTTGGGGGAGGGGGCGCTGGCCCTGGGCTGGGGGGTTCTGGGGGAGGGGGCGCTGGCCCTGGGCTGGGGGGTGTTGGGGGAGGGGGCGCTGGCCCTGGGCGGGGGGGGAGGGAGGAGGCACTGGCCCTGGGCTGGGGGGTGTTGGGGGAGGGGCGCTGGCCCTGGGCTGGGGGGGAGGGAGGAGGGAGGCGCTGGCCCTGGGCTGGGGGGTGTTGGGGGAGGGGCGCTGGCCCTGGGCTGGGGGGGAGGGAGGAGGAGGCGCTGGCCCTTGGCTGGAGGGTGTTGGGGGAGGGGGTGCTGGCCCTGGGCTGGGGGGTGCAGGGGGAGGCGCTGGCGCTGGGCTGGGGGGGAGGGAGGAGGAGGCGCTGGCCCTGGGCTGGGGGTGCAGCGGGAGGGGGCGCTGGCGCTGGGCTGGGGGGAGGGAGGAGGAGGCGCTGGCCCTGGGCTGGGGGGTGCAGCGGGAGGGGCGCTGGCCCTGGGCTGGGGGGTGTTGGGGGAGGGGGTGCTGGCCCTGGGCTGGGGGGTGCAGCGGGAGGGGCGCTGGCCCTGGGCTGGGGGGGGAGGGAGGAGGAGGCGCTGGCCCTGGGCTGGGGGGTGTTGGGGGGAGGGGGCGCTGGCCCTGGGCTGGGGGGTGTTGGGGGGAGGGGGCGCTGGCCCTGGGCTGGGGGGTGTTGGGGGAGGAGGCGCTGGCCCTGGGCTGGGGGGTGTTGGGGGAGGGGCGCTGGCCCTGGGCTGGGGGGGAGGGAGGAGGAGGCGCTGGCCCTGGGCTGGGGGGTGTTGGGGGAGGGGCGCTGGCCCTGGGCTGGGGGGGAGGGAGGAGGAGGCGCTGGCCCTGGGCTGGGGGGTGTTGGGGGAGGGGGTGCTGGCCCTGGGCTGGGGGGTGCAGCGGGAGGGGCGCTGGCGCTGGGCTGGGGGGAGGGAGGGAGGGAGGCGCTGGCCCTGGGCTGGGGGGTGCAGCAGGAGGGGTGCTGGCCCTGGGCTGGGGGTGTTGGGGGAGGGGGCGCTGGCCCTGGGCTGGGGGGTGCAGCGGGAGGGGCGCTGGCCCTGGGCTGGGGGGGAGGGAGGAGGAGGCGCTGGCCCTGGGCTGGGGGATGTTGGGGGAGGGGGCGCTGGCCCTGGGCTGGGGGGTGTTGGGGGAGGGGGCGCTGGCCCTGGGCTGGGGGGTTCTGGGGGAGGGGGCGCTGGCCCTGGGCTGGGGGGTGTTGGGGGAGGGGGCGCTGGCCCTGGGCTGGGGGGTTCTGGGGGAGGGGGCGCTGGCCCTGGGCTGGGGGGTGTTGGGGGAGGGGGCGCTGGCCCTGGGCTGGGGGGTTCTGGGGGAGGGGGCGCTGGCCCTGGGCTGGGGGGGTGTTGGGGGAGGGGGCGCTGGCCCTGGGCTGGGGGGTTCTGGGGGAGGGGGCGCTGGCCCTGGGCTGGGGGGAGGGAGGAGGAGGCGCTGGCCCTGGGCTGGGGGTGCAGCAGGAGGGGTGCTGGCCCTGGGCTGGGGGGTGTTGGGGGAGGGGGTGCTGGCCCTGGGCTGGGGGGTGCAGCGGGAGGGGCGCTGGCCCTGGGCTGGGGGGAGGGAGGAGGGAGGCGCTGGCCCTGGGCTGGGGGGTGTTGGGGGAGGGGGTGTTGGCCCTGGGCTGGGGGGTGCAGCGGGAGGGGTGCTGGCCCTGGGCTGGGGGGTGTTGGGGGAGGAGGCGCTGGCCCTGGGCTGGGGGGTGCAGCGGGAGGGGCGCTGGCCCTGGGCTGGGGGGTGTTGGGGGAGGGGGTGCTGGCCCTGGGCTGGGGGGGAGGGAGGAGGAGGCGCTGGCCCTGGGCTGGGGGGAGCTGAGGGCGAGGTGGGGCAGAGGCAGCTGGCAGCCATAAACAGATCCAGCCAGGCAGCGGGACCAGGGGTGGGGCAGGGTCACCCCAGCGAGGCCTGAGGCAGACAGGAGGAAAGGGTGGGAGGGAGCTGTGGATTGTGGGGCTCCAGTGGGGTTATCCTGGGGGGCAGGAAGGGGGACATGGGGGCTCCTGAATCCCCCCGGCCCAAGCCCCCGGCTCCTCTGCCTCAGCGTAGGCCCAATGTGGCTCCGGCAGCGCCCTGCGCCCTGTGCATGGTGGCAGCCGCTCCAGGTGCCAAGCCACGTTCGGGGGCCCTGTGCTCAGGGGTATGGGGGGCCCTGGTGCGGACTCTGGGCACAGGGTCTGGCTGGCCCAGCACCTGCTGAGGTTGGAAGGGGTCTGGGCTGCCCGGCCCTGCTGAGAGCGGAGGACTGGGCTGGGTGCAGTGCCTGGCAGGGCGGGTGGGCGCCCCAGGAAGGCCGGGGTGTATGCTCAGGGAGGCGTCCTGGGGCACACCCTGGGAGTGGGCATGCAGCGCTGCTGGAGGGTATCCGCACGGTGCTCAAAGGGACTCTGTGCCTAGGTGCCACCTTGGGTTGGGCACCCTCAGGCTCTACAACTCGTTAACACACCCCAGCTAATTGGGGCAAAGCCAGGACCAGAGCCAGCATGCTGGCTCCCCCGATGGCTCTGCGGTGGCATTTCACAGGCTAACACGGTCCTGGCCGCACGCCTGCTGCCCCAGCCGGGCGAGGGATGCAGGCCATGGCTATCCCGAAAGCTGGCCTCCCTGCTCTGCCCATCCCACCACGGGCACAGGCTCTGGCCAGGCTCCGGAGCTGCACCCAGATTGCCACCCCTCCAGGAGGAGAGGCTGGGGCAGGGATCTCTGCTGCAGGCCCTGGCTCCAGGAGGCTGCTTTGCTGTCGTGTAACAGGCAGGGCCTACCACGGGCACCTGGCAGGGGGCACTGAGGACAGGGAACTGCAGAAGCCCTGGCTCACAAGTGGGCAGCCCTGGCTTCTCAGACAAAGTCAGCTCCCAGACTGCTGCACTGGGCAGCACAGCATGGGGAGGAGGTGCCCAGCCCTCTGTGGAGAAAGAAGTGGTTCGGGAATATTTAGAAAAGCTGGACGAGCACAAGTCCATGGGGCCGGATGCGCTGCATCCAAGAGTGCTAAAGGAGTTGGCGGATGTGATTGCAGAGCTCATAGTGATCGGGGGAGGTCCTGGATGACCGGAAAAAGGCTAATGTGGTGCCCATCTTTAAAAAGGGAAGAAGGAGGCTCCGGGGAACTACAGGCCAGTCAGCCTCACCTCAGTCCCTGGAAAAATCATGGAGCAGGTCCTCAAGGAATCAATTCTGAAGCACTTAGAGGAGAGGGAAGTGATCAGGAACAGTCAGCATGGATTCACCAAGGGCAAGTCATGCCTGACTAATCTAATTGCCTTCTGTGACGAGATAACTTTGTCTGTGGATGAGGGGAAAGCAGTGGACCTGTTGTTCCTTGACTTTAGCAAAGCTTTTGACACGGTCTCCCACAGTATTCTTGTCAGCAAGTTAAAGAAGTCTGGGCTGGATGAATGATCGTCGGGCTCAGCGGGTAGTGATCAAGGGCTCCACGTCTAGTTGGCAGCTGGTATCAAGCAGAGTGCCCCAAGGGTCAGTCCTGACAAAGCCCTGGCGGGGATGATATAGCTGGAGTTGGTCCTGCTTGGAGCAGGGGGTGGGACTAGATACCTCCTGAGGTCCCTTCCTCCCCTGATCTTCTCTGAGTGCAGGGCATCCAGGTGCGGTTGGTGGGGAAGGGCAGGACTCTGCTCCATGCTGCTGGGTCAACCTTAGAGCCCCTTGAATGCTCACGGGCAGGGGTCCCAGTGCTGACTGTTCCCCAGGCCGCCTCTGCCCTGCCTCACTGGGGGGCTCGTCTAGGCCCCTCGCCTCGCTGCAGCCAAGGAAGCGCTGAGCAGAGAAGCAATGGGCATGGGCATCGGCTGGGGCACGCACCCCGGGGTCCCTCTCAGCCAGCAGCTGGGCGCAAGCACTGAGCACGACACCCCAAGTCACCCCTTGTGCCTGGCCAGCCCAGCCCCCCCGGGGGCCCGGCTCTGCAGTGCCACGTGCGCCCTGCTCCCCACAACGCCCCATCCAAGGCTGCGCTGCCCTCTCTGCTGGATGCTGCATCGCCCTCGTGCCGCCTGGCCCGGTGCCCCAGCCCCACGGGGTGCTGGGAGTGGGCATCTCGGGCTGTTCCCTCGAAGCTTGGGGGTCTCTGGTCCTGGTTGGAGACGCCCTGGCTCCGGTAGCCACTGGGCGTCAGCCTGGTGCCCAGGGGGGCAGTGAGCCGACGTCCAAGCTAGCGCAGGCTGCAGCTGTGCACGCACCATGTGTGAATACAGGGACCGGCTCTGGGTGCCTGTGGCTGCTGGCGTGGGGTGGGGAAGGGGCCAGCTGGACAGAGCGGCTGGGGTCAGACGGGTGGTGATGGGGCACTTAGACCTTGCCTGAGCCATTGCCTCAGCTCTGAGCTCTCCGGCCTTTCCTTAGCAGGCGCCCGGATACCAGGGGAGTGCCCCCTTGGCCGCTTGCAGGGCCGGCCTGCCTGTGACCAGGCGGAGCCATGCCCTGTTACAGCCCTGGCAGGGCAGGGGGCACCCAGGCTGTTGGGAATGGAAAACAACCTCGTCCTGTTCCCGGCGCCAGCTCAGCCCCGTGAGTGTCTGGCAGGTGACGGCACCTAACTCCCTTTGAGGATCCGGGACATAGTCACTCTGTGCCTCAGTTTCCCCATCTGTACCATGGGGCTTACAGCCCTGTGTCACGGAGTCCCTGGGCGATGCTCTGGAACTGCTCCCCATGAAGCCAGTCAGGACTCTGGGGCAGTCGCCTTTCTGTGAGCAGCCTGTCTTCAGGACACACAGCTCACACAGCTTCCACCTTCCTGGGTCTGACCTCGGAGCATTCAGCATCCTCTGCCTCTCCGTGCGCTTCCCACAGCGAGTCCGCTCAGGCGGGGCTCCTGGGGAAGCCAGAGGGTCCTGCACCCCAACTTCGCAGTCAGACGTGACTCTCAGCCAGCCAGTAAAACAGAAGGTTTATTAGACGACAGGAACATGGTCTAAAACAGAGCTTGCAGGTGCAGAGAACGGGACCCCTCAGCTGGGTCCATTTTGGGGGCAGTGAGCCAGACAACCACGTCTGCACTTCACTCCATGTCCCAGCCAGCCCCAAACTGAAACCCCCTCCCGCCCCTCCTCCTCTGGGCTTTGTTCCTTTCCCGGGCCAGGTGGTCACCTGATTCCTTTGTTCTCCAACCCTTTAGCTCTCACCTTGCAGGGGGGGAAGGGCCCAGGCCATCAGTGGCCAGGAAACAGGGTGTTGGCCATTCTCTGTGTCCAGACCCCTGCACACACCTGCCCTCTAGGGCTCTGCAATGATCATACACCGGTACCCCACCACCTAGATACTTAAGAACTGCCTAGGGGAAACTGAGGCACCCCCACACTATTCAGAGGAAACATTAAGAACAGTCCCACTTCGTCACATCTCTCCCCCCTTCGAGATCGAACTGAGCGGGGTCACTTTAGCCGGTGACCTGGGGAAGTTCGAAGCCACCAACGTTCCCATGGATGCCCCAGCATCTCTCCCATTCCTTGGTAGGAGTTACACCAGGCCCTTCCATTTTCACACCCTCCCTTAGGTCAGGGGTGGTCGAAAGCACTCGCAGGCCGCATGTGGGAAGGTTTATGCAGCCCATGCCCTTTGGCCACCCCAAGAATGTCTCCCCATTGACCATCACCTTCTGATCCCACTGGAGGTCCGAGGGGCCTGGCCCCAGGACACTCCACACAGACATATAGGTTGGGGTCAGGAGTGGGAGCCTGTCCACATCCCCAACCATCTGGCTGGCGGAGTCTATGGCCTTGGGACCCAGCAAGGGAGCTAGACACCGGGGCTTTTCCGCAGGGTCCCCCTGGTTCAAATCGCCAGCCTGCTCAAAGGCAGTGAGGTGGGCATCCAAACCCCCCCCCTTAACCAGGGGCAGCAATTTAGTCTCGAGGTTCCCTGCGGAACTGGCCCCCCGGGATCTATCCCCACTCACCCCTGGGAGGTCCCCTAGGCCTCTCCGCCCCACCACCGCCAGTTCATGCTGCTGCTGCTTCTGCAGCTCTTTCTCGGGCTCTCGCTGTCTCCCACGGTCCTCTTGCTCTCTCAGACTCAGCTCCAATCCCGTCCGTCTCGATCCCCCGATGGGGAACCCGATCGTGAAGACCCCCGTCTGGTCGGGGACAGGAGTCTTGGCGATGCCTGGCTCCCGCTCCAGCTGCTCCCAGATCCTGCTATAGCCCCAGTTGGGGTCAGGAATCTGTTCCTTAGAGCGGTCATCCTCCTCCAGCTGCACGATTAACTCTGCTTTGGTGAACTTTCCAACGCTCAACCCTCTCTTTCTGCACAGGGTTACAATGTCCTTCTTAAGGAGACGGTGACAGGCCATCACTCCGCTCCTCCCAAGTTGTTGTGGACTCACAGGCCCGTGTGTTCTCAGCTCCCCACGGTTTCCAGGGAGAACCCCTAGTGTGCCAGCCCTTCTCGAGGTCACCACCTCTTTGCCAGGGTCGAGCTGCAGACTCCTCCGCCCCTAAGACTGCTCGCTGCAATCCCCAGGGGGACCCCATTACTGCACAGTCCTTCTCGCTGGTCACACACTCCGAGGGGTTAACCGCCCCCCGAAACCGCTCCTTTCTGAGCCTTCACCAGGCCTGGTCCTCGGCAATCCCCCTTCGTGTTACTGCTCCCCAGTCACTTACTGCAGGAAGCGCCATCCACGGGGTGCAGTACATCCCACCACTGCCACCAGTTGTCACGGAGTCCCTGGGCGATGCTCTGGAACTGCTCCCCATGAAGCCAGTCAGGACTCTGGGGCAGTCGCCTTTCTGTGAGCAGCCTGTCTTCAGGACACACAGCTCACACAGCTTCCACCTTCCTGGGTCTGACCTCGGAGCATTCAGCATCCTCTGCCCCTCCGTGCGCTTCCCCCAGCGAGTCCGCTCAGGCGGGGCTCCTGGGGAAGCCAGAGGGTCCTGCACCCCAACTTCGCAGTCAGACGTGACTCTCAGCCAGCCAGTAAAACAGAAGGTTTATTAGATGACAGGAACATGGTCTAAAATAGAGCTTGCAGGTGCAGAGAACGGGACCCCTCAGCTGGGTCCATTTTGGGGGGCAGTGAGCCAGACAACCACGTCTGCACTTCACTCCATGTCCCAGCCAGCCCCAAACTGAAAACCCCCTCCAGCCCCTCCTCCTCTGGGCTTTGTTCCTTTCCCGGGCCAGGTGGTCACCTGATTCCTTTGTTCTCCAACCCTTTAGCTCTCACCTTGCAGGGGGGAAGGGCCCAGGCCATCAGTTGCCAGGAAACAGGGTGTTGGCCATTCTCTGTGTCCAGACTCCTGCACACACATGCCCTCTAGGGCACTGCAATGATCATACACCCTTACCCCACCACCTAGATACTTAAGAACTGCCTAGGGGAAACTGAGGCACCCCCACACTATTCAGAGGAAACATTAAGAACAGTCCCACTTCGTCACACCCTGCCCTGCCTCCCAGGGGTGTAGCTGCATTAGAGAAGAGTTCCTTAGATCTCCAGAGCACTAGCAAGCTCCGTGTGTGAGGCCCCTGACGCTGAGGAAGAATTGTGCTAAGAGAAAATCCTTCAGTGTGAGCAGTGAACCAACAGCCTCTCCCTTCCCTCGGTACCTTCTCCCCAAGGCATGCAAAGCCCTGCGCAAACGCCTTCCCCAGCCGGCACCAGCATTTGCACGGGCTAGCCCCGGCTCTGGGGGCAGGGCAGGGGCAGAGACACCCCCTGCACGAGGGCTCACGCACTCCGTTCCTGGGCCCCCATGGCGATGTTCATAAAGGTCTCTTGCTAGTGGGTGGCACCGAGCGACTGCACCCCCTGGGCAGAAAGTGCCCAGAGTGACCCAGCAGTGGTGCTGGGGTGGGAGGGGCTCCCAGGGGCCCTGACTGCCAGCCCACAGCTCCAAGCCAGCAGCTTGCTGCCTCTTGCCTGAACAGACGGGGCTCTGAGTCCCGTGGTGGGGCCGCTGAGCGGGCCAGGGCAGCCCCTACCAGCAGGTGTGCCATCCCTCAATGCCACGCTGATGGGTGTGGATCCAGGACCACGTCCCCAGCAGGCTGGCTCCTGGGCTCTCGCTTGTCACTCGAATATGAGCCCCTGGCTGGGTCCCTCTGCACGCAGGGCGGCTGGGCCATCTGCTCACCGGAGTGCCAGGAGTACCACCCACAGTGTCATCCTCCCAGGGCAAAGCCCGGGCAATGCACTCCAGCACCCAGCTGGCCCTGGGCTGCCGGCTCAGCGCTCACAGTCGGGGGCCCGAAGTGCCCTCTAAGCTGCGCGGCCATGCTGCCACGCAGAAGCCTATTCAGTGCCCCGCAGGCACTCAGGGCTGCGGCCCGGAGAGACTCCTCTGCCCTAGCCCTGGTCCCGCCATGGCCGGGGGAGAGGTGCTGCGGCGGGGAGATGCTCCTCTCCCTCCTCAGTCCAGGGCTGCTGCAGTGAGAGAGAGCTGAGGGGGATCCTTTCTCCCTGCCGGAGCCCTGGGGCAGCCTGCACCCCAAACCCCGCATCCCTGGCCCCACCCCAGAGCCAGCACCCCTCACTCCCTGCACCCCAACCTTCTGACCCTGCCTGGAGCCCCTCATCCCCACCCAGGTCGGGTCACACCTCCCCTCCGTGTTGCTGCAGGTAACATTCATCCCGCCCAGGGGTGGGAAAAGTTAGAGGGAGCCCTGGGGGCAGCCCCTGGCAATGGGGCATCACCTGGGGCTGGGTGCCAGAGGGCCCTCGCCAAGCTGGGGGCGCTCAGAGAGGAGCAGTGACTGGCACAGGGGCCTGCCGCCTTCTGGGCAGGGGGCAAAGCCCGGGTAAGCCAGTGACTGGACCTGGTGACGCGAGAGGTGGCAAGTCAGAGCCACTCAACAGGGGAGCTGGTCCTGGAGCCCCAAAGGGCAGCGCTAGGAGAACTGGGGGAGGGGACTAAGGGGCTCCTGGAGGGATGAGGCTGGCAGAGGCGTATGAAGAGCATCGCTTGGGCCGTTCACCGTAGCCCGGCCGGTGCCCTGCGGAGTGGCCTGGGGGGCGCAGACCAAGGCAGGCCCAGCTGGGACCCAACGGAGCGACAGCTGACAGGCGTGTGGCCAGCCCCAGCCAAGCACTTCAACGGGGCTTCTTCCAAAGCAGGGCTCAGCGGGGCCCTCCCTGGGCTGGGGCCGGTGCTTTCGGTCAGGGGCCGGGGGCCCTTTGCACCCCAAATAGTCCCCTTGGGCAGGAGGTGGGGAGTCTGTCCCATGTGCGCGCGTGTGTGCACGGGTGTGTGTCACAGCACATGGGGGCCAGGCCGTGCTCTCGCACTAGGATTGACTCCGTTCTTTAAAGGCTGCAGGTCTTAGGGGGGAGCCGCATGCCACGTGGCTGCAGCCAGGCTTTGTGCAGCCAGCGCCCTCTGCCGTGCACGTGCTGTGAGGCTGGGGACGCTGGTGTGCACACGTGCGGGGCCCTGGCGCGGGCTCCAGAACACCCAGCAGGCTGCCTCCACGTGCGAATTCCTGCTCCCGCCAGGCCGGGGCGCCGGGCTGGGCTGGCGCGGGCTGCTGACTCCGGCGGGCGCAGGGCGGGGCCCTCCCTACCCATGCACAGAGCTCGGCCGGCGAGCTGTAAGGCGAGACCAGCTCTCATGGGCTCAGGCAGGGCGAAGTCATGTGCCCAGAGCCTGCCCCACAGCGCTGGCCTTTCCTCCTGCCCCCCGGGCTGCTGGTGCCACCTCCCTCAGTGCTCCCTTGGCCGCCCCATCACCAGCCATGCCCCCCTCATGCGTGGAAACCCTCCCTAAACTCCCTCCGCAGCCACGGCCCTCCGGCCGATATCCTCCCCACACCTGCACCATGGGAGGCAGGTCCTGGCTGGGGCACATTCCCCCCAGCTTGTGTTATCCCCCTCACTCATGGTGTGACGAAGTGGGACTGTTCTTAATGTTTCCTCTGAATAGTGTGGGGGTGCCTCAGTTTCCCCTAGGCAGTTCTTAAGTATCTAGGTGGTGGGGTAAGGGTGTATGATCATTGCAGAGCCCTAGAGGGCAGGTGTGTGCAGGGGTCTGGACACAGAGAATGGCCGACACCCTGTTTCCTGGCAACTGATGGCCTGGGCCCTTCCCCCCCTGCAAGGTGAGAGCTGAAGGGTTGGAGAACAAAGGAATCAGGTGACCACCTGGCCCGGGAAAGGGACAAAGCCCAGAGGAGGAGGGGCTGGAGGGGGTTTTCAGTTTGGGGCTGGCTGGGACATGGAGTGAAGTGCAGACGTGGTTGTCTGGCTCACTGCCCCCCAAAATGGACCCAGCTGAGGGGTCCCGTTCTCTGCACCTGCAAGCTCTGTTTTAGACCATGTTCCTGTCGTCTAATAAACCTTCTGTTTTACTGGCTGGCTGAGAGTCACGTCTGACTGCGAAGTTGGGGTGCAGGACCCTCTGGCTTCCCCAGGAGCCCCGCCTGAGCGGACTCGCTGTGGGAAGCGCACGGAGGGGCAGAGGATGCTGAATGCTCCGAGGTCAGACCCAGGAAGGTGGAAGCTGTGTGAGCTGTGTGTCCTGAAGACAGGCTGCTCACAGAAAGGCGACTGCCCCAGAGTCCTGACTGGCTTCATGGGGAGCAGTTCCAGAGCATCGCCCAGGGACTCCGTGACAACTGGTGGCAGCGGTGGGATGTACTGCACCCCGTGGATGGTGCTTCCTGCAGTAAGTGACTGGGGAGCAGTAACACGAAGGGGGATTGCCGAGGACCAGGCCTGCTGAAGGCTCAGAGAGGAGCGGTTTCGGGGGGGCGGTTAACCCCTGGGAGTGTGTGACCAGCGAGAAGGACTGTGCAGTAACAGGGTTCCCCTGGGGATTGCAGCGAGCAGTCCAAGGGGCGGAGGAGTCTGCAGCTCGACCCTGGCAAAGAGGTGGTGACCTCGAGAAGGGCTGGCACACTAGGGGTTCTCCCTGGAAACCGTGGGGAGCTGAGAACACACGGGCCTGTGAGTCCACAACAACTTGGGAGGAGCGGAGTGATGGCCTGTCACCGTCTCCTTAAGAAGGACAGTGTAACCCTGTGCAAAAAGAGAGGGGTTGAGCGTTGGAAAGTTCACCAAAGCAGAGTTAATCGTGCAGCTGGAGGAGGATGACCGCTCTAAGGAACAGATTCCTGACCCCAACTGGGGCTATAGCAGGATCTGGGAGCAGCTGGAGTGGGAGCCAGGCATCCCCAAGACTCCTGTCCCCGACCAGACGAGGGTCTTCACGATCGGGTTCCCCATCGGGGGATTGGAGAGGGACGGGATTGGAGCTGAGTCTGAGAGAGCAAGAGGACCGTGGGAGACAGCGAGAGCCCGAGAAAGAGCTGCAGAAGCAGCAGCAGGATGAACTGGCGGTGGGGGAGCGG